CTGATCCTCTGTGAGGATGGAGGAATACTCCCAACTGACCCAGGATCAAGGGCCTAAGGCCATAAGCGCTCGCCTGAAGGCGTTTTCAAACTATTAAAATACTCTGCTTGAGCGCTAACAGCAGAAGCTGTCAGCGTCGACGACGGATGATTCCTTCCGACCCAGGCCGCTCATGGTGAGCGTTAACATCTATGATTTTAAGGATGAAGATATTCTCCTTCTCTGGGCAAGATATGCCGATGAATACGGCATCCACCATGCTCCGAAACAAGCAACAGCAAGTGGACCAGCTACCTCCAAGCTTGAAGGTCGAGCGCGAGAATGGCACTAACGTGCGATGCTTCGGTCGAAGCTGCGTTCCCCTCCTGGTAGGAGCTGAAGCGTCAGCTTCTGCGAGTACTCTCGCCGACTAATAAGGCGTATCGTGAGATCGCGTATTCTTGCTGCCCAACAGGGCAAGAAGGGTTTAGTGGACATTAACCAAGAGTTGACAGTTCATATTGCCGGGATACAGCAGATCCTCTCCCCGAGGCGGTCGCAGTGACCGTCTTTATGCAGAACCTTCAACTGCCGTGGCCAGAATGGAAAGCTTCCGTATTGAATACCGAAGTCAAGTTCAAGTCGGCACGACTTGGTTGAAATATATATTCTAGTAGCTCACTGAGCGGGCCTGAGCCAATGGATCTCAGAAAAAATGACAACACCCCGTAGACGCGGGGTGTCCTATTGAAGAAGAACTGAGTTCTGCTGGGCCTCATTGAAGTAAGGACCCAGCCTCGAAAATCTCCGTGCTCTTGAAGTGTGCAAGCCGGGTTTGCTGGTCGTGGAAGCGACCGTGAAGGGCTTTGAGTAGCCATAAAAGATTTGAATTGACTCCGGGGCGTCGGTCAATTAAGCTCGACGCTGTACGATGGAAGTCAGCTGTATGCGGAGGCACTGAAGGCGCGGTTGAGTGACATCTTTACTGTTCGCTCAGCGATGCGGACTTGTGACACGATGCCGAAGATCCCTGTGGACCTCGGTGCCAAGTTTCTTGACGTGGAACGCTGTCTGGGCTTAGACTCAAATTCAAGGTACGACCGTATGGCATGGTTAGAACACCATATGCCATGGATCGATTGGAGGTCGAAGATCTTGACGCTACGCGCACGGCTTCTGGTGGAGCTTCGGTGAGTAAAAGCTCACCCCTGCTAAAAAATTGAAGCGCTTTTGGCGGGGGCACTGGACCGAAACGGTCAACGTGTTTAATATCGGAGTATCCGAGTTGTAGAACACCGAAGGTGTATCGGACAGGAGTCCCGAGCATAGCTCGCGGGCTGGATGTGAAGTGGCACTTAACCCGCAGAGCACTGCTAACGTCTCGAATCAGTCGCTGCATGCCATGAGTGGTATGGTCGGACGAGGCCCAGGGCATCTTGGACAAGGCCATCAGATGCGCGTGAGATGGCACGTTATCCACTGGACGAAGACTATGGAGTTAGCAGCTCTTTGTTGGATGTTGTAAATAACATCAGGACTCCGGTGAACGACCCTAAGTGCGTGTTCCCACTGGTCTCACCAAGACGTAACACTGCTGTGGAAAGGCGACGGCGACGCCGTTTGCTAGCCGCAACACATCGGGAGTCGACCCTGACCCAGGATGTGTCTCCCACAGACGATAGCGTACAGCTATACACCCTCGTCAATGGTACACTAGAAAGAAGACGGCGACATCACCCTTGAGGCTATTCCCGCGGTTGATGCTTTTTTGAGCTAGACGAGATGTCCTTCGACGAATTTGGCGGTGCCTTGAATGCAGGCGACTTAGCCGAAGTGGTCATGATACGACCGGAGGATGAGATCAACTTGTCATCGCTTCTGGATGAAGCTGTCCTGGAGAAAACCAAGAGGGTGTGGAGCGCACGAAGTGGATCCTCGATTCTGAAACATCTCTCTGATCCGTACTATTCTTTGGTGAAGGAATTTCAAGACGTCGTCTCCAAAGACCCGCCGTCGGTCTAGCCTCCGGACCGAGGTGCTCGTCATGAGATCGACGTCGTTCCGGGAGCCAAATACTGCGTAACACGCCAATGGCCCCTGCCCAAGGAGTAGTGCGACGTCATTGACGCCTTCTTCCATGCGAAGCACGACGGAGGAATGGTGTGTGGGATCAAGACTTCCCACATTTTATGACCCAGAAGCCGAACGGCAAAAGGTGTGTCGTTCACGCTTACAATAAGGTCAACGCTACCACCATTCCGATTTCTTCCACAAACGTGCGAAGCACGGGAGAATAGCTGAAAAAACCACATCGTTCATTTAAGAGCGGTGATCGAGTGCATGCGCACGAATATGCCGTAGGCTAATGCAGACAAGTGCATCTTCGGCGTGGAACAGATCCATTTTTTGTGTACTTCATCGAGAAGAGTGGCCTTCAAGCAGATGCGGCTAAGGTCAAGGCCATTATGATCTGGCCGGTTCCAAAGAATCAAAAGTACTTGCGGAAGTGGCTTGTTCCCGCCAACCACTGCACAAGTACAGCTTAATTTATGCAGACATGGCACGGACATTGTCAAATTTTCTTAAGAAGAATGCGGGATTGTGTTGGGATACCGAGCATTGGAAGGCTTCTGACGAAGTCAAAGACAGCCTCTTTCATGCACCAATACTGGTGTTGCCAGGTTCCGGTCGTCTTTTGAGTGTCGTTCATGACGCTTCGGACTTTGCCATCGGCTGTGCACTTCTGCAAGCAGACGCCGAGGGGTGAGATCGGGTGATCGCGTTTGAATCTTGCCATCCCGAGGCTGCGGAGAAGAACTCCCCAGTCCACGACAGAACTATTCGCGAAGAGTTATGCACTTGTCAATTTCGGGGTGTACCTGCTCAGCTCAAAGCCGTTTGTATTCTACACAGATCTTGCGTTACTTCGCACTGCGACTCAGTTGCCTCAATTCTCGCACAGGATGGCCAGGTGGCTCTTTTTCTTCGCAGAATATAAAAATAGGGCGAAGTATAACCCAGGAAAGCAGAATGCTTTGGATGACGCGTTGTCTCGCAGACCTGATTATGAGCTCCCTCATGTCACGACAGTGACGTCGACCGTAGCGGCGATCCGCGCCACATATGCGGGTGATGATATGTGCGTAGCGCCGCTACAGACTCTCGAGAGCAAGGAGTTGGAAACCCGGACAAGAAGTTGTCGTTGAGACCACGTGCACGGTTGCACCGATAATCATGGAATAATGGTTCATAGCACCGACTCGACGGGAACGTCACGAACTGTGGTTCCTCACGACTCTATTAGGCCCACGACACCCCACTCAGTGGTCATCATGGTCGTGAAAAGACGAACAGCTCTGTGAGTTGCCACTACTGGTGGTCCAGGCTGTACAAATGGACGAGCACATATGTGCGCACGTGTGAGACATGTCAAAGGGTGAAACCCTCTCCGAATGCGGCGGCGCCGCTGGCAATTTCGCTGGCTCCCTTCGGGTGTTAGCAGTCCATGACAATGGACTTTGTGTTTGGCCTGCCGAAGGAATCGGCGAGCCAAACGGGTGTCGATATCTTCGTCGATCTCTTGGGCAAAGTGATTTAGCTTGCGGCGGTGACGAAAAGCCTCAACGGTGTCGGTACAGCGACGCTGTTTGTGAATCGTGTCTTTCAACTACATGGGCCTCCAGGGTCAATTGTCTCTGACAGAGACCCACGCTTCACTGGGAATTTTTGGTCGACGATCTCTAAGGTACAGGACACCAGGCTGGATATGTCAACAGCAGACCATCCGCAGACCGATGGTCAAACTGAGCGCGTGAATCGTGTCGTCGATGACGTTCTTTGCAGCGTCTGCGCTGAGAGTCCGAGGCGCTGGAGCGCCATGCTGCCACTCGAAGATTTGCTTAGACAATGCAGTGCATTCATCTAATAGCAACACGCTATTCGACGTGAACAGGCTCGTTTATCCTCGCGTCCCACTGACGCTGCCCTCCCATAGTTCAGAGATTCGTGAGGGAAAGAGCCGAGTGTCTAGTTGATGTCAGCCCTCTCACTGTGCACAACGAAGTCGATGACTTCCTGTCTATCAGACTTAGTGTCTTACCGCACGTTCGCGATGCGATGGCTGAAAGCCAAGGCATGCAGAAGGAATATGCAGACGGAAGACGTAGAGAAGATGTTAGAACTACGGGGGTTGGAGACTAGGCTTTCTCAAATGCTATGAACCTTCCTACCCATGCAATTTCTGCTCTCATTAAGACGAAGATCTATCCACGGGATATCGAACACTTAAAAATTCTGGCCAAGCGTGGCCTTGCGTATATGCTAATCCTTCCGAAACGGATGTGCACCCACCGAGTATTTTATATGGGCTTGCTCAAGCCGTATTGGAATCCTGTGCAATTGAATACGGAAGAGTTGACGCCGGTGCGGCGCCCAAAGGCCCTCGACCACTCAAAAGCTAAACCAGCAACTGTTTTGAGCACGGAGTGCAATGACTTCCATGTTCAAAGGCGCCAAGCGCATCACCGATGCATGAAGCGACGCATTCGTCTGCTCGACGCCTAGGAGCCGCTCCGACAAAGCGCAAAAGTCCTCAACGTGAAGTAGCCGGTGCACGAAATTCTCCAAGCTATCGAGGTCTACCGCACAGCCGTATCCGACCCCAGCATGCGCATAGCATAGACCCAATTGCGACGGACATCGTCTTCAAGATCTTGAAAGGCACTGCAAATCACCGATATACTATCGACCCAGTCATCGGTGGCGGACGACCCTTCTCGACTAGAATGGTGGTGTTTACTATCTTGTGGAA